GCGGCCCACTACGACCCCCCCCACGGGTTCGCCCTGGCCCAGCCCCGGCTCGACAAGAGCAACGGGGCCGCCAAAAAGGACTACCAGGCCTCGGGCTTTCACGCCAGGAAGGCGGCCCCGTTCGCCGCCCCGCACAAGAACCTGGGGCTGTCCGGCTTCCCCTCCGCCAGGGCTTATTCCCAGCTCGCTCTGCAGCAGCTGAAGAAGAAAGCGGCGGCTCAGCACCTTGAAGGAGACGGCGACGGCCTCCGGAGCCACCCCGGGGGGCTGGAGGAGCTCCGGCAGAAGTGGATGCTGGGCGGCGACGGCGGGAGCGCGGAGGAGGAGATCCCCGCGGGCACGGAGGTGGATCTGGGCGAGAGCAGGGCCCCCAGAGCCGTCACCATCCCTCAGGCTGCCTTGGACCTCAAGAGGACGTTCAGGGACACCCTGAGGGCCACGGACCCGTCGGTGGCGTCGGAGGAGCAGCAGCAGCAGCTGAGGATGATGGTCCCCCTGGTCCTACTGGAGGAGGTGAACCTGCACCCCAAGGCGGCCAAGCGGCCGCGGGGGAAGGCGTTCAAGAGGAAGGCGATGCTCCCGCCCCGGGATTTCGTGACGGAGGAGCCCCTTCCCTTGGACGTGCTGCTCTTGGACGCTCCCCTGGAGGGTCCCCTGGAGCTCGACGACCTGCTGGACTCCGACGCCGGCATGTTGAAGAACGAGGAGAGGAAGTGCCCCTACTGCCCCGACCGCTTCCACAACGGCATCGGGCTGGCCAACCACGTGCGGGGCCACCTCAACAGGGTGGGCGTGAGCTACAACGTCCGGCACTTCATCTCGGCCGAGGAAGTGAAGGCCATTGAGCAAAAGTTTTCCTTCCAAAAGAAGAAGAAAAAAGGTAGTATGTATTCAATTCAGCCTGTTTCTGTTCTCTGGGGTTGCTCTCGGGGGTGTTCTCCTCCCGCCCGGGACCGGGTACGTATGGCGCGGTGCTGGGCTGAGCCGGGGGGCGTTCGGTTGGCCGGGGGGTGGACCTGACGCCGCTCCGTCCCCCGCTCTTAGGGGCCTGACCCGGGGGTTCAGTGCCACCCCTGACTCTCTGTCCTTCCTCGCAGTCGCCAACTTCGACCCGAGCACCTTCAGCCTGATGCGCTGCGAGTTCTGCGGCGCCGGCTTCGACACGCGGGCGGGGCTCTCCAGCCACGCCAGGGCCCACCTGCGGGACTTCGGCATCACCAACTGGGAGCTCACCATCTCGCCCATCAACATCCTCAAGGAGCTGTTGGCCAACTCCTCGGAGCACCCGCTGCTGCAGGCGGCGCTGGGGGCCGAGCCCTCGTCGCCGGGCCGGG